GAAAGAATACAGGGGTTAAGGCACTTGCTTGCATCTGACTGACTTTAGCTTTATCCCTAATTCTACATATCATTACCCAACCACCACCAGAGAGGCCCCTGAACAAAAAGCCACAATATTGCCCAAATCTTCCCCCCTTAAAAAATTAGTCGTGTTGATTTTGTGCATTCATTATAAGTTTTGTTAAGGGGGAAGCGGTCACTTCCAAACAGGGCCTCTGTCTGTGTAGTTGCTTGTTCTCCACATGACTCTGTAGCTTTTTTTGGTTCTTCAATGTTTGCTCACATCCAAAAGATACACATGCTAGTTGTAGACACTGGAATGTCTCAGTGATCCAATTGAATGAGTGTCCATGTATATATGTGTGTCCTATCCAGGATTGCTTCTTTCTGTGTTCCCTGAGTTTCCAGGATGGCGTTAGTGGGTTTGAAAATGATAAAAATGAATTAAAATGTATCACTGTATCACTGTCATGCTGTTGTTCATCAATTGCCTCGAGCAGGCACCAGTAACATCTCTGTCCTAGCCCTGAGATTTTAAAAAGTGCCACATTCGAGGCTCTTTCAGGGTCAGGAGAATGAGACCCATCATTTTTACTGGTTTTTGGCATATTGTGTATGCCACAGGGAGTTTTCCAGACTCTGCCGTGTGGGCAGGATACTTTTGATAGCCTGCCAGGTTCTCCAGAGTAAGAACTAGATAATAAGATGTGCAGCTGCAAATGCAGCCACGCACTTTCGGGAGCAGGGCTTTATGGTCTCTGGTCTTGGCCATTGTTGGGATTACATGGCACCTGGGGCAGTTGGTGGGTGTAACGACTACATACTGGAAGATGGGGGATCTGGGTGGAGGAGGCCCCAGTTCCAATCCGAGCAGGCTTGGAGATCTACGCCCCGGGTCCCACACACCTGGGTTCCTCTGCCGGTTCCTTCATGCGTGAGGCTCGTCCGAATGTGTGGAGAGTGGGCTTAAGCATGGCTGTGGCTGGAACTGGAGGTCTTCAGCTGCCAGGGCTATGATCAGGGTGGGGAGGGAAACAATCCACCCTCCTCCAAGAGGATGAGTTTTTATTTTGAAGTTTAGTTGTGTGATTAGAAAATGATGTAGAAGGGCTAGAACGATAATACAGAGGGGAGAATGTTTGCCTTGCACGTGACCAACATGGGTTCAATCCCTGGCATCCCATATGATCCCTTGAGCACCGCTAAGAGTGATTCCTGAGTGTAGAGTCAGGAGGAGGAATCCCTGAGTATGGCCAAGTGTGAGCCAAAAAGAAAAAAAAGAAAATTTTCTCATGCTATTCATAACAAGCAATATCTGCCTGTGGGGCAGGCTTAAGTGGTGGTGGGAAAACTCAAAACAATGGTGGTGGGAAGGTGTCATGGTGGTATGATTGGTGTTGAAATATTGAATGTAATCAATTGTGAACAACTTTATGAAAAATGAAATTTAATAAAAGAAAATGATGTCCTCCCGTTGTTCATCGATTTGCTCAAGCGGGCCCAGTAACATCTCCATTTTGAGACTTGTTGTTACTGTGTTTGGCATATAGAATACATTACGGGTAGCTTGCCAGGCTTTGCCGTGCGGGCGAAATACTCTCGGTAGCTTGCTGGGCTCTCTGAGAGGGATTGAGGAATTGAACCCAGCTCAGCCGGGCTGGCTGCACGCAAGGCAAATGCACTACCTCTGTGCTATCGCTCCTTATTCCTATCCATTGGCCAATGGTACAATTGGTTTTGTTGCACATGACTTTCGATTAAAATCCATTTTGAAGATCCTATGGAGGATGTTGAAGGCTGTCTTCCACATTTTTGAAGTAATTTTTCAAGGACAACCCTTGGGACAGCCTATGTCATTAGGATCCAAGTGTGCAAGTTGGACTAGGATTCAAGCGGAGAATTTAGAGAACTGAGAGAGGCCTTGGCCCTGGAGAGTATCCCCAGCCATGGAGAAGAGTCTGAGTGGTGATTCAGAGCATTCAGCAGGAACAGCACACATCTTGCAACTTTCCATCTGTGCCTTTCTGTACAGAATGGGAAGGGCTGCTCCGGGGGGGGGGGGGGGGGGAGGAGGGGGGGCTCTCCTTCTGAGGAGATGCTAATTTCGAAGAAAATGCCCATGAGAAAAGCTGCAGCCTTGGCTGTTTTGTTTTTTTTTGGGGGGGGGGGGCACACCTGGCTTAGCCCTGGCTCTTTGCTCAATATCACACTCCATGTGATGCTCTGGGGACTGTATGTGGTGTCAGAGATTGAACCCATGTCAGTCGTATGCAAGAGAAATGCCTTACTCTCTCTCCAGCCCTAACCCTAGCTGGTTTTTGTGCAGATACAACAAATACCTATGTTCCCTCTCCCACTAACCATGGTAGATTAGAACTACTCTTAGCTTGACTGTCTCTAAATCTCATAGCTAACCTTGGTATAACAAGGCTCATAGCTTGCAGCCTGCCCTTGGCCCCTAAGGATGGCTTTCTCAGCCAAGGTTGCTGTAGTGATCCATCACCATCAGATCTGAGCAGCAGAATACCAGGAAAGCCCCTAGTGGTTAATCTTGGTGCCTAACATCTCCTCCCTGTCACTGCAGTGACCCCAAACTATGATCAGGTAGTTTTGCCAAGTTCTGCCTAGTTCTTGAGCATTGGGTCAAAGAAACTTAATTGCTCAGGTTGCCACGATAGTAAACAGTTCAATACAATTTCTGCTTTGTCTGTTTGGGGGAAGAGTATCCCTTTGAGTTTAAAGTTTTCCAACCCACAGATAGGACACTCAGGGATGGGAAGCACATGCCCTCCAAGGAAGGGTATGGGATTCATAGTATATCAGATTTTTAAGGCTGCTGTAATAAATTACCATAAACTGGGACATTTAACTAAATAGAAATACATGAATTGTAGTTGAAGTTTTGAATCAAGATAGCTGTAGACTGTGTTCCTTAAAGGCTACAGAAGAAAAGCTACCATGCAAAAGTTGGCAGCAGTCCTTGGCACATTGTGGCTTGTTGACAACATGGTTGCAATCTGCCTTCTTCGTCTGTGTCTCTGTCCAAGTTTCCTCTTATAGGGACAGCAAGTTATTGGTTTCAGACCTATTTCAATTACAGTCTGACTTCCTTTAACTTAGATTATGTCAGCAAAGACACTTTTTCAAAATGTGACTGCCAACAGCTGTGACACACAGTCACTTCTGTTTCCAGTCTATGTTGGTAGACTCACGTATTCTACCTCATAGAGGTATGCCATTGTTAAAAATTCTCACTACACACAATGTGTACTGGAAATGATGTCAGCACATCAATACATATGATATATTTTCCTTGTTAAGTGCTACAAAGTTCCTAACCTTCGTATTTTATGCTGGTTTCCTTTAGTTCATTCTTTTATGATGGAAAGTTCTGTGTGTATGTATTGATATATGTATGTTTGTGTGTGTGTATATATATACATATATATATACATACATATGCATGTATATATAAATGCATGTATATACTGTTACCCCAACTTTTACTGTTTTAAGAAATGATCCTTGAAGTCATTAGGTATGCTACAGTAGTTATGACACACATTGACTTTAAATCCACAAACTCCATGACATCCTGAGCATCCTGAGCATCACTAGTGCAGCTTGGAGACCCCTGAGCACTGCTAAAGTGGCCCTGTGAACCCCATGGACATAGTAGCCCTGGTGCTCCCCAGCACCACATCCTTGGGCCCCGACCATTGGCCTGGCTGACCACGTATTGCAGAGAAGGTTCCTTGGCCTTGAGCATTACTTGGGCTATCCCTCTTCTCCGCTAACCCCAAGATATATTCTTAGAGATTAAGTAAAACTACCCAGACGTACCACTTGATGCCTTAAGTAAAAGGATTTTGTCTATTACAAATATTATTATTGTCTTAGTTAACTTCATGAGTATTTTTCTTCTTGTAAAATTCTTAGGGTTTTTTAAAATAATGGTTCTTTAATTTTCTATTTGGTTTTTCCATGATATTTGTCTTCAAATATTAAGTAGTTCTTTTTAGAAGGGAGGAACTATTCCCAGAATTGAGATATCCTAAATACTGAGTCATTATTGAAACACAGGCACTCACCTCTCTTAGCAGACACACTAATTTCCCACATGCTGGTAATATGGAACAGACAAAACTTGGCTTGACCATTTCTGAGAAGTTGTAATACTGCATGTATAATGTCTTATTTAGCTAATAAATATTCTGTGTTCTATCAGATGTTAGTCTGATGTTGGTTCACCACATGTTAGTTCATCAAAATGAATCTTCAATTATTTTTCTATTCTCTCCAGTCCTTCCAGGAAAAATGTATTTTGAGTACAGATGTAGATGACTTTTACTCTTAGAACAATTTAATATTTGGGGTTTTTTTCTAGTCATTGTTGCATTTTCTTTTTCTTTTTTTCATTTTTCTAACAACTTGAATTTAATGGAATTATTTTAGTAGTAAAACTAGCAAACTCATGTTGTCTCTTAAATATGGCCTTTAGTAAAATGCTATAAAATTAACTAAATTGAATGTTTATTCAACCAAATATGGTAATATTATTTTTGAAAAGTTCATTATCATATGGATGAGAACTAAAGAAAAAAACAGAAGAAGATAAAAAGGATGGACAAAATTTTGGACATTATTTTATGTTTCAATGTATTTTCTTTGTTTTGTGTTTTGTATGTTTTGGTGTCTTATCGAGTGGTGCTCAGGACTTAGTCCTGGATCTATGCTCAGGGATCACTCCTGGTGGGGCTCAGGGGACCATATAAAGTGCTGGGGACCAAATCCGGTCATTTTTGGTCGACCTAATAAATTTACTGACGTCCAGTAGGATTGATAGGCATGAGTTATAATAGTATATTTACTTGTTTACACAGCACTGGAGAGCATGGAAGGTTATTATTATAGAGACAATGTTTCGGTGGAAGAATTTCAAGCCCAAATAAATGCTGCCTCTCTGGAAAAGGTCAAACAGTACAACCAGAAGCTCAGGTATGTATCCTTCAATATTTGAAAATACAATTTTTTTGTGTGTTTTACTGGAGCACATGAATAGAATTTTATGTCACTCATTACATTTGTTGATATTGATTTGATATAAAGTCCTTTGGCAAAGGGTTCAGTATTTCTAATATATATGATTTTTCAAATAATAATAAAATTGTCTGAAATGATCATGTTAAGGTTTAAATCTCTGAGTAAGATGTAAAGAAGAGTTTAAATATTTATTGGAATATCTCCAGGAAAGTAAAGTTATTTTATAGTGGTTCCCCTAAATAAATTTCAGTGGACTAATCAAAAACAAGACCCTTCATATGCCATTTAAAAACAAACACTCCAGCAGCTGGAGCAATAGTACAGTGGGTAGAGTGTTTGCCTTGCACATGGCCGACTCAGGTTCGATTTCCGGCATCCCATATGGTCCCTTGAGCACCCACCGCCAGGAGTGATTCCTGAGTGCAGAGCCAGGAGTAACCCCTGAGCATCGCTGGGTGTGACCCCAAAAGCAAAAAGAAAAAGAAAAAGAAAAAACAAACACTCCAGCACAAGAAAAGGACTTGTTGAATATGAAAATGTCTGAAAATATTTAGTGTTTGAAAAATATAAACTATAATAATGTTTGCATTTTACTCTTTTTTTTTCTTCTAAACATGTTACCATTATGATAATAAAGGCAGGCAAAATAAGTTGACAATAAGTAAAAGGAAGTAAAGTTAACAATTTAGAATTTTCAACAAATTAGAAGCAAATGTATCACCCTTCTTATAAATTACTATTGACAACTCACTGCTGAGTTTCACTAGCAAAGGTTAGGGCCATGGGTCAGTTGTGGAGAGGCAAATTCTTGCATGTGTAAAGACCTAGGTTGACTCCTAACACCAACCCCCACCCTCTCCCCAAATTATTAGAGACAAGGAAATTGACTAGACATTATTATTAGGGTGTAAATGCAATGATCTAGACCTATTTTCTCAAAGAGAGCTTGAAGGATGTATCTCAAGGTCCACATAGTCTACAAAAGTGTTTTGATTTTTATTTCAAACATAACCCCCAAATATGTAATAAAGGCAAAATGTCCTAGTGAAGATAGCACTCAATGGACAGATGAAAAACTATTGGATTTATATTGTGCTGCTTCTTGATTTTATTTTTTTAGGGGGGTGGGCAGAGATCAAATTCAGGACCTGATAACTGCAGGGTATGTCCTCTACCACTGAGCTTCATCCTTCCCCCTGCACTCAGACTTCTTACATCTGTATTTCTTAGTCAGTAGATCCATCGATTTTCAATATTAACACCTTCAGGGCTGGGGAGGTGGCTCAGTAGTAAAGTGAATGCCTTGAAAGCATGAGGCCACATGAGGTCCTGGGTTCCATCTCTAGCACTACAAAACCCAAATAGGCAAAAAAAAAAAAAAAGCACCCAAATTCAAGATTAACATTTTATTTTTTTCCCAGTGAAAGTTATCAGTCAATATTCCTGTGGAAAACCAGGAAAAGAAATATTTTGCACCAGCATCTGAGATATTTTGTTCAGGTCATCAAGACCTTCAGCTGCACTGTTTTTAGAGGGTGAGGGTTGGGTCACACCCAGCAGTGCTCAGGAGGATCACTCCTGATGGTGTTGGGGATTGAATCAGGGTGAGCCACTTGCAAGGCAAGCGGCTTACCACCTGTACTATCTTGCTGGCCTACCCTAGCACATTTTAGAAGGAAAAGTATATGAGTAATCAAGAAAGACACTGAAATAGGCCCTTCAGAACTCCAACACAGAGGCCAAGCAGCATCATATCTACCGCTAGCCTAGGGGCCTACTGAGAACATCTTGAGAGACACAAAAGAAAAACAATAGTAAGAGACTGAGAGTTTGGAGGATGAGAGCTTTAAAAAAGATAAAGCTGCAGTGAAGTAAAGGCCATAGGAACAAGAATAAGCGAGAGGGAGGCAGAGATGTGCAGACAAAGTTGAAGAAAGCTTATCCCTAGGTCAGAATCACAAAAACCATCTTCCAGTATCAGGAATTTTAAATTATCTCTCAGTTTAATCATATTGGCAACCACATTTTATAAGTCACAATATTATTTTTAAATTACTAAAAACAAGTTAAAACAAAATATATTTTTACATAAATACCACGGCCTGCTAATAATTTACATAAATACCACGGCCTGCTAATAATTCAAACAGTGTTGTTTGAATCTACTTCCATCATGCCACACTATCCTGCCTGGTTTCCAGTCATGCAGGTTCTTTACTTCTCCAGGACTTTTCCACCTTCATTTGGCATCTGCTGTTTTAGGCTCCAACTTTTTGTAAAGTTACTATTCATGTGATTTGGTGGCCAACTCTAGTTTAGTGTCATGAATCAATTTCCTTGGATGTTTTGGACGTGGATATGGTGTGAACTTGAGATTTTATTTTTGAAATTCCTTAGATATTTTAGTGTGTAGCAGGAATTGAAAACCAATTCCCTAGGTCAGGAGTTCCCAGAGTATGATCCTTTCATCAACAACATTAATATCATAGGTGATCTTCTGAAATCACAAACCTTCCAGAAGATTCTATTGCATTCTTTTATTTCCAAAACAGTGCCCTAGACTAAATAAGGATATGCTTTTCTTCTTGTCTCTCATTTTACTAGTAGATGTTAATAAATCTCAGTTTTTCTCCCTGATGACTGTCATATGTACAAATTCCTCATTTATTTTAAACTCATAGTGATAGGGGATAAGTTTATGTTTCGCTTGTGTTTATCAAAGTGTTTTGCATAAGAATCCCTCTAAAGTGTCTTTTTCATTAAATTTTTTAGAAACAATGTGTAGAGGAAAGTGAGATGTTATGTAGTATTCACAATGCTGTGAATTTTTTATACGATGCATGATAGAATGTTTAAATTTTGTTATTGTGTCAAAAAAACAAGTGTATTGATGCACTGGCTGGAGCAATAGCACAGTGGTAGGGAATTTGCCTTGTAGGCAGCTAGCCCGGCCGAGCCGGGTTCGATTCCTCCGCCCCTCTCGGAGAGCCCAGCAAGCTACCTAGAGTATCTCTCCTGCACGGCAAAGCCTGGCAAGCTACCTGTAATGTATTCTATATGCCAAACACAGTGACAACAAGTCTCAAAATGGAGATGTTACTGGGCCCGCTTGAGCAAATCGATGAACATCGGTAGGACAGTGTTTGTTTTGTTTGTTGATTGCACTCTATCTCCTCATGAAAGAGAACTTTTAATCATGCTTTTCTGATGAAAGCGTTCTTTAAAAAAAAAAGCCTCATAAAACTTAGGTACCCCTATTAGTTAGTAGTTATCTATTTTGTCTGTTTGGTACATATTAAGGCGTCTATATATGAAGGCTATTTTCTTCCTCTTATTTTCAAATAATTACTTTGCCTTCCTGCTTAATTCTGGAATAATGATACTAAATGTTTACAATTTTCTGTTACTTAGTAACCATAAATATTCTGAAACTTCTCATGAATGAGTTATTGGTTTTCAAAACAATAGGTACATATTGAGCATTTCCTTAAAGGGGCTCTTTGGTTCATTTTTTTAAAAAAATATGCATTACAGAAAATTAGTGAATTCTGCAAAATCCAAGGTAAGAGTCCTATAGAGGCAGAGAAAATACATTCACTCTAGTAATGAGATTTCTCCATAATGGCAACAAATAGGTAGAAATAATTTGCTGGGTGCATATGTCACACATTACACAAAAGTCAACTCAAAGTGGATCAAAGATGTTGAGATGAGCCTGAATCTAAAAAGTACACTGAGAAATATATAAACAGAGTGCTCCAAGATCTATACCTTAAAGGAGTCTTCAATGATCCCATTGGCAAACAGAACCAAAACTAAACATATGAGACTACATCAAACTAAAAAGCTTCTCTATGGCAAAAAGAAAAATGAGCAAAAACTAAATGACAGCTGAGTGGGAGAAAATACTTGCCCTTAACACATCAGATAAAGGGTTGACATCTAGGATTTTAAAATACTCATAAAGATCTACAAGAATGAAAAGAAAATCTAAAAGCCTCATCAAAAAATAAAAAAATGGGGTAAGGAAATGAAGAAAATATTTTAAATGAATGTATCAGGAGATCTATAATTTTGAGTGCATAGGTAGTGATAATTAAGATATTAGGTAGCATTTGAACAAAAGTCTGGATCACAAGTAGATAGTTTTGATAAAATCTGAGGAAGGATTATTCCTCCACAAAAACTTAGTGTTGTGGAATGAGCATATTATGTTTGGGAAAGACAGAGAAGGGTTCTGCAACATTGAGGATGATGTTTGCTGAATGATGTGTGGGAAGCCTACACTGAGCAGTAGGAGGAACACGAAGTCTGTAAGTGTAATTCAGAAACCACTGGAAAGATTTTATTGAATTAGCTCTGTCCATTTTCATCTCATGGTTCTGTTGCAAAGAATGCTACAAGTGTTTATGTTTTCATGAAAAGGAGTGAAAAGAGCCAAGTCCAGCTGATACATGCAACCATTTCTTCTCTGATTTCTGAGGGAATGCAGATGAGGCCATGTGCTTGGGGTGGAAGTGGAATGTTCTTGCCATATGCATTAGGGCATGGTTGCCTTAAGACAACTAGGTTTTTTTGTTTGTTTGTTTACCTCTATGGAACAGGGGTGAGCCAACGGAAGTACTTAAGAGCTATTTGTGAAATATACCATATGTGCTAAGTAGACAAAGTTCTTGATTGATGTTCTTCTCATGCTAAAAAATAACAGCTTATATATGTAATGCAGATGTTCTAAGCGAAAAAGTTAAGAGAAGTGATACTTTCTTCCCTTTACCACCCCTTTATGTTCACTATTTTAGTTTCTCTTTTATGCCTGGATTTTCCTTTTATTGGTTTCTGGCTACTAGCCATCATCCCCATTAGCTTTATTTTCCCTACATATGTGTAATTTGTCACTCCCAAACTTCTTTATTTTAATTCATCCTGTCTGTTTATTGGAAAAAGCATCCTCTGCG